CTTGCAGAGTTGTTGACTTGGTTTGATTCTTGATGTTTGATTCGTGACTGTGTATTCCACATTCATGATTCTTATGTCAGTCAACAGCAATGACATCTCAATTTGTCCATTCAATCAGTTGCATGTGAGAAATCCTCTGTTGTGTTTGATTTTGTGAGTGAAGTGTGAATGAATGGGTACCACCCCTATACAAAAATTAGAGAAAGAGAATCTACAAAGTCTAACAAACTATCCATACTAAACAGTAATTTTTCAGTAATCCAAATCCAAAACCTGCAACCATCTGTTCGTTACTTTTAAATGAAAAACACTTAGAATCTCAATAGCCCTCGTATTTCTCTCTGTCCAAAGAAGCCAAGGAGGCATTTCTAGTTCAGTTACGAAGCTCAAAGCATCATATCTATTAACAGAGTGAGGCAAGTCATACCTTAAACAAGAGATTAGTAATAAAGCATGATCTGAGTGTACCCACAGAATGCAAGACAGGAATCCAACCAAGTATTGACTTGTCAGGTTTTTAATTTCTCTCATCACAATTGCTTTCTTTTCCCCTTTTGCCTATTTAACAAACACGGGAAAAGAGCTAGACTAAAAAAAGAGTGCTCTACACTATTTTGACGTGTGTGATCCTTGCCTGAACCTCCTTGCTTACATAACATAGTGGTACAAAAGCATGAGTCTGCTAGCTGTGATTAGGAAAAATCAAGTGAAGCTTAGTAGGGCCATGGCCATAGTTCCAACCAAACAGCTCAGATCGTGCAAGCTACCTTTGGCTATCTGTCTTTATGTCTTTTCGCATGTGTCATTACCACAGCGGGATCTTGCTACTTTCAGACTGTTGAAAACATTTCCTGTTGTTTCTCCTTGTGCATGTGTTCCTTCTTTAGGCATGGAGTCAATGCGAATATCAGACTGATGGAAGAGCCAAAGAACCAGTCTGTCGTCTATGTCGGAGTAGATAATAGTCTTGCCGGTCTTATATATATCGAGGATCAAATCAGAGAAGATGCTAGGCATGTTGTATCATCATTGTCCAGACATGGAGTTGATGTATACATGCTATCGGGGGACAGAAGAAGTGCTGCTGACTACGTTGCATCCATGGTCGGCATTCCCTTGGAAAAGGTATTTTTTTAATCTTGTTAATGTAGACAGCCATTGAATGCTCTTAGAAAAGCTAGAGGGAATTGCTTACAAATGCATGATAATGCTGAATAAGCAGGTGATTTCTGGGGTGAAACCAGATCAAAAGAAGAAATTCATCAGTGAACTACAGCAGGATGATAAAGTTGTAGCTATGGTAGGTGATGGGATAAATGATGCTGCTGCATTGGCTTCATCACATGTTGGAGTTGCAATGGGCGGTGGTGTTGGAGCTGCTAGTGAGGTGTCTTCTGTTGTCCTGATGGGAAACAGGCTCTCTCAGGTTAGTAAAGTAGTTCATTTCTTACGTTTTACATGCTATCTCGTGGGTTTATCACAGTTTACAATCTCATTTGTTAAGTTGCATATTACATCCGCGCTCTAATAACCGTAAATAAAGTTTCTAGAGACATTGTTGCACCGTTTATTAAAGAACTTGGTACATCTCAAATCAGCAGGAGACTGTCACTCCTCACCTCTTCTAATTTCTGATTTGGAAATGGATATCGTGTTTTCAACTCCTATTTGATTAGGATACTATGTTTCTGTTTAAGAGTTTCCAGTTTCAACTTGGAGCAGGGTTTAGTAGAGTCTGTAAATAACATGCTTGTCCTTCAGTTAGTCATTGAAGTAATAAAGTTTGCATTTTGAGCAAGGGTTTGCTATTAAGTTGTGTGATGCAATTCTTCTTTTTAATTATGATGCATAAGAATCTAGATATCACGCCTAAAGATCAACAACCCTTTCTCTGAAATCCTCTGTTTTAAATAAATATTTTCAATCAAACCTTTTCTACAAACTTTTATCCATTTCTGCTAAATTTTTGTAATAATTCAACCTGAACACTAAATTTAATGTTCACTGTCCAGAACCTCCATTTTTTTTTATATTGGATCAGATTGTTCCATATAGGTTTCACGTGATTTGAACGTGTGCAAAGGCGAACTGTAGATGCTCAAGTGAGAAGATACAACTCTAGAGTAAGACCGTTGTTTAGAGGGTGGAGGGAGGCATATGAAGACAGACTTTAGGAAAACATAGTTCACTGGGATAGAAAGCTGGTCCCAACACCCTAAATATCTGTATCTAGTACAGCGAACTGTTTTTTGAAACACTATGACAAAAACCTATGCCAAAGACCGTGCATAATGAAATAATTGCAATTAATCTTTTTCTCATACTTCAAGATGACCGTATAATGCCTCTTTCAAACACCCATAAGACTCTTATCTTTTTCTCATACTTCAAGATGACCGTATAATGCCTCTTGCAGACACCCATAGGACTCTCTTTTACATTTTTGTACATTAAAAAGATCTCTCTACTTCGAGCTCCACTTAATGTTGATTACTTATTATGGTGTTATCTTATAGTTGTTTTGTTTTGTTTCCAATATTGGGTTCGATTTGATTTGTCTCCATGCAGTTGCTTGATGCTTTGGAGCTGAGCCAGCTGACCATGAAAACTATCAAGCAAAATCTTTGGTGGGCATTTGCCTACAACATTGTAAGTCGTGCATTAAGCACTTGGTGTTTGTTCTTTTCTGCAGTTAACCTTCTTTTTTGGGCATTGGAAGAATATCTGCGACATGTATATGGATAGCAGATCATTCTTCCAGTACAATTATGCCTCCAGAAATAGCAGACAACGTAAATTACGTCACCAAGTTTATTTGTATCTCCTTCATCTCACGAATAAATTTTGGGAACTTCCTCAATCATCCAAGCTATTCCACTAGTGAACATTTGAGGATTTGAGTGAGATTCTCTGCTCCTGTGGTTCCACCTAGCGAATACATATAGGACCTTTGAAACCATCACTGATACTTCTGCGCATTCCTATGAAGATAAAAAATGTGAACATTGCCGATAATTCCGAGTTTGAATATATAAAGTCAGAAAAAGAAAGATATTTGTTGGTCGGCTTGTATAATGAAGAAGAATAATACATAATGATAAATATTTGAGCGAGATGTAATATCACAGTTAAGCCGCTTTGTTACAAGTTCATGGCTTGTTTCAGATGACCTGAAATGCAGTCCATTAGATTAACCGTCATAATCATGTAAATGATTCAAAGGTCACTTCTCAAGATGGCGTATTGTTCAATGGTTAAGCTTTTCTTTCCATTCTTAACCATCTTAATACGTGCCTGCATTCTGACAAAAAAAAATAATGAGTGCCTGCATGCGTTTATAGGTGTATCTAGTTAATACGATATTGACTCATCGAATTGCAGCGTTTAACTATTGACTCTTTCAGGTGGGGATTCCGATTGCGGCCGGAGTATTGCTGCCAATGACTGGGATAACACTCACTCCATCAATTGCCGGGGCTCTCATGGGACTGAGTTCGATTGGTGTGATGGCAAACTCATTATTGTTGAGGTTCAAATTCTCCTCAAAACAAAACAACATAGCTAGATTGCCATCAACTATCTATTTGAATACCAATCTTGCGGACCAGAAAAAGGAAACGAAGAGCTTTTCTAGTGCTACCTGGAGGGAAACTCGATAATCAAGAGATGGACATTTTGACACACTTAACAGAGTCATCTCAGCAAAAGAACATACACACGCATCCTTTCTTTAACACTGAGGTGATTCAGAAGAGTGGATGCTTATTGACACTGGCTGAGATGTCTACACGGGATTTTCGTTTGATGTGCATTCCTGAGATGTATGAAAAGGGTGGAAAAGTTGATTCCTGTAAAAGTAGGCTTTTTGTAGAGTCCCTCCAATGTGCTCACTTCGTTATAAGGGTCAGGTGTACACCACCAAACAGGTTGTAGCCGCAAGCTGTATTTGTTCCAGCAACTAGCCTCATTTATCGCTTTGCAGATAGCTCTGGTATTCGAAAACTCGACAAGGAAGATTTAGGACTTTTCTTTAAAATTGCCTGACGATACTAAGTGCAGGGATTTGTGCGTGGTCCTCTCAAGTTCCATTCAGAACATACTTGTGCCTCTTGTATCCAAACAAACACGGTCAGGCTTAGATGGTGCCACGGGTGGTACGCCAATCAAGAACTTGCTTCTTAAATCCTTGTTTGCCCCCAAAAGCTGTGATACGGTTGTTTGGAGGTGGTATTTTCATGTCTTCAAACTTTGAAGACAGGAATGACTTTTTAGCCGTCTCGGAATAGACATGGACATGACAGATTGAGCTTCGAGAATTGATTTCATTTGCAAATTGATGTCTATGGGATTTTCTTGTTTCCCTTTCTATGACAATTACTACATGTATCATTCCGGAAATCAAAGATCAGAAGCCGGGATCCTGCTGCCCTCCTGCTCGTCCCTAAATTTCCTCCAAGTAGACGTTTTCGAAGAAAACCAATTGCCTCTCAAAACGGGATGGGATAACGCGGAGCTTTAAAGCAAAAGCAATGGGCAAAGGGTTTGACCTTTGATCCCTTTCGCCCTCTTTTTTTCTCCCTAGTATCAAACTAGGGCCGTGCCCCTAAACAGAGCCGTGCCACCTGCCTGGTCGCTGATTCGCAGATAGCCGACTAATCAGCAATGTAAGAACATGATGCATCTGCTTGATGATCAAATGCCCCTGTCCACTAGCAAGGCGTGCATTCCAGAGTTAAGAGTGCAAGGTTTGATTGTTACATAGTTTTAAAAGGATACGTTTTCTTTGTAATCACGATGGGCTTCCAACCAGACCGGGTCTTCAGCTCAAAACCGAGAAGTGCTTGTTAGAGGACGACCTAAGTATATATGCCAGCGCCAAAAAGTTCAAGAGACCAATTATTTTCCCGATTACCGAAAGCATGCCATGCAAATGGAAGCAAAAGGACGTTGCCTACCACGCACCCCTGGATAAAATACAGTATTTGTTATAGTAGGTTGGGTCATAGAACTGTCCGAAAAGTTTCCATCTCAAGGCCTATACGTCGTCATCGATATTGTGACGAAGCACATAATTGAAGGTACGGTTCTTCCGTAACATCTAAAACTCGGATAAAATATAAAAACAAAAGCCAAAACGACTGAGGAATGAGAAAGCAACAACTAGCACGGACCATTTACTTATGACTCTTCCTAGTGTAAGTTGTTGCAAACGCAATGCATATCCTCACCTTCACCTCACCTTATGCTCAATAAATCTAGCCACTGTTCAAATATCTGCAATAAGGTAGATTTCTTCTCCCCTCCCTCATTTTCCCCACAAAGCGATCTCTGCTTCTCAACCTTCTCATGGTCCAAGCGAAAAGGACTACTGCCAAGTAAATCCCGAGGGCTTAACAAAGCCTCGGTCCTAACAGCCCTTTTCTTCAGCTCTCGCACGTTTCAACGGGACATTACCAAGCAAAAGTCAATCCCCACGAACGCCTCAGGAACCAGCCTGATCTCAACGAATTCATCTGTTTATCATTCAACCACTCATTTGGAGACTGACGGAATTAACCAGTAACTAAAAGTTGAGGCCAAAATCACCATAAAAACAGGAGGAAATGCTGACTTCTGCAACTCAAAACGATCATGCTGTCCGGAGCAGCATCAACTTTTCTTTGATGGGTAAAAGCAGTGCATCAGAGCTCGTTTTTTATCTGCAATCTTACTCCATAGACCACTAGGATGCAGCACAAAGCCGCTTACCTAAAGCATGGTTTAAGCATGTCCTGCCAATTCAATTTAAAACAACAGTACTAACAAGCATGCCTAGCCAGCCTGAAAAAAGTAGTCCAGACAAGTCAACTTTTTCGAATAGCAAATATTTGGAAGCAGTTAGACATCAGTACGTGCAACATCAAGAATAAGAGGCCTAAAAGTTTAGAGAAAACCAATTTATGTCATGAACACCGTATACCAACGTATGCATTATTAACAGCTTTACAAGCACCTGTGGAATATTATATAGGAAAGCACTTAAGTAAATTTCATGTGCTCCGCTAGTATACAATGACAACCTCTCATCTGAAATTAAAAAAAAAATGATTGCTTAGATTGCAGATATAACTGCCAGTCAAGTTAATGTGAGGTCTGCGACACCATTAACCATAAGATAAACCTTCCTGCCGCAGACAAAACGTACTTGTCAACGTTCAACGAAATCAGTTCATAATTGATTGACCACAAGCCAGCAAGACCAGCTACGCAGCGATGGTCCACAATAATAGCTGCTGCTTCTGACCTGATCCCAGCAAGGGCAGCAACAGCCCGCTACGGTTGTTTATATCTTAAGGCCCGAAAGTTATGCACGAACACACGTATAACCATTAACAAAGCAGCTACCACTTCAACTGCTACAATCACCGACCCAATCAACATCTCACTACATTAAGCAACAGAAGTTACAATCCCTCCAAGCTGAATTTAAGGTGGTTAAGTGAAGGAAAAAAAACATCCCAGACAGCATAACCAACTATAAAGATGTTACCATTTCCTACAAAGTGGCTGGAAAGAGATCAGCAAAAGCCATTCTTACTACGGATCAGCATCGAGATTAATGAATCAACAAAGCCCAGATGAAGCAACCGCTACAGATCAAGCATTTTCACTCGTTGGCCACCTCAGACCATCACAGCAAACTCACAGGTTCATTCATTACGGACGGAACCGGCATCAACCATCGCAACAATCAAATCAAGAATCAGCATCTGCAAGGATATTAAGTTTCCTAAAAATGAAGATTAACGGCAATAGACCTTACCATTTCGGAACATCTAGCCAACATTAGCTATTGTCCTGCCCTGCTATCTACTGCTATATCAGCCAATTTGATGCAACCATCACCAAAATCTCGATCATCCACCAACGATCAATCATGTGAATCGACAGCAACAGTATCAACAAATCATGCCCATCGCTCAGCTTCCCGAGCATAACTATAAAATGTGTAAATGGACACAATGAATAATGACTCTCATAAAACAAACTGCAACACAACCATCGATTCTTAGCCAAAGCAAGGAATAGAAACCAATGGGGATAGACACTACGGGATCCAAAAGAAACATAGCAGGGGGCATGAGGGAGAGAGAGGGAGAGTCTATGACAAACCACCAGTGCACAAAACTTCAAGCAAACTAGGACACCATACTGTTCATAAATACCATCTGGCTGGCTAACTCTAGAATGCATGAAAGTTCAGAAGGTAATTAAAACACCTAAAAGATCCAGTTCTACCAAAAGCAGCACTTTAAGTTCATATAACAATGACCATATCAAGGTTCAACAGTTGGAGCCGCGGAAAAGAGATTTTTAAAGAGCCAAGCATTCCCCATCTTCTCAAAAAGCTTTCCAGAACACCTATTCCTGCCACAGCAGAAAAGCAAATGTCAGCATGGGGCCTCCCTCTCAACAATAAGCCACAATAGAGCAATAACTCACGTCGGCGTCTGAATTCCTAGGCGACGGACTTCGAGAATCAGAACGCCGACCTCGGGGCGAAACACTTCGAACCGGAGATCGTCCATCGCGACTGCGTCTATCAGGGCTTTCACCCCTAGGAGAGAGAGACCTGCGTGGAGAAGGACTCCTTCCAGGGCTGGCACTGTGGCGAGGAGGTGGACTGCGCCGAGGGGAAGCACTACAAGAGAAAACAGAAACAAAGAAATATCAGTAAAATGGCAGATCAAACGGTGCAAAGCACAAAGATGAACATCATGACAGAACCTGTCCATTGAGCGACTTCGGCTCCTGCGCTCATCATCATAGCGACCTCTACCCCGACTTTTGTAGTAATCAGGACTCGCACTGCGGCTTCTGCTCCGCCGACGATCATCTCTGTCCCTCCCACGATGCCTATCACGATCATACCTATCCCTACTTCTGCTGCGACTTCTCCTCCTATCCCTGTCCCTGTAGTCATCTCGATGCCTGGCAGATAGTAACATCAACTCATATATTTAATGGAGATGAAAAAATTTGTATAAGACAAACAAATTACAAAAGCTTATAGAGTCAATTGTTGCTTAAACAATCTAAAAAAAATAAACTTCATGCAGTCAGAAAGTCGCTTGTATAAATTTAATTAAAAGGAAACAAAGAGAATGGGGCTGACAAAATTCTGAAGAGAAATACTTGCTTTATATGGAAAACAAACGCATGAGTAAGATGATGGAAATAGCACTAAGCCGATTAGATACATGAGTTGTAATATATTTGTCTAATCTAACGTCAAAACCCAACCTACCTTATGCCTTTATTGACGTTCTACTCACCAATTTCAGAGAGAGGCCAACTTTTTTTCACGGGCAAAAAACTTGATGCACTTGAATGAGACTTCACAATGAAGACACGGAAACTATGGAACATATCTAAATCAGAAAAAGGGGAGAAAAACAAAGGTAAAAGGATCCGATATAAAATCCAGCAACCAAATTTTTTGGATTGGAAATAAGTTTATTAAAATAAGTGAACAAAAAGTAAAAGAGACCAGAATATTGAAACCAATTGTTTGTTTGTGAACATCTTTAACTATCAAGCGAGGAAAAATTACATGTCCATAAAACTTATCAAAACCCCACAGACGAGTGATGCAAAAACCTTAACACCCTATTTTACATGCAAAACGGACTAAGAGCAACACCTGAAATTGACGAACGGGAAATATGTCAGACGAGAACCGCACACAATACGAAATACTAAATGGATCGTGAAGAATGATATTCAGCTCTGATACCATGTAGAATATCCAAATGAAAAACTAACGGCCTGTTTGTTTGAACTAAAGTAAACGAATACTTTTTCAACCCCCCCCCCCCCCCCCTCAAATTCTATTTTTGAGAAAATTTATATGTAAATCTCCGTGTCAAAATTTGCATTCTGTGAAAGTTCGGATTTTAAAATAATGAAATTGAGTATTCCGCAAAATTTTGATCAAGTAAAAATCAATCAAGATAGGCCCTTAAGCTATTAGGTGGAGCGAGACTGGAAACCCCAAAGACAAGTGATGTATCAAATTTGACAGTTTGGAAAAACTTCTTTTAAAGGACTTTTTGCTTTTCTTAGATGTTGCAGATGACATAATCTGACTTTTATCTAAGGCAGAACACTTGAAAACTTTCAAAAGATACAAATATTGACATTACATATAACCTTTCCATCATTTTTCAAAAAATTTCTTCTAATTTTCAAACTAGATTTTGTTTAGGCAAATCCAGTCATGCTTCCGAAGCAAAGGATGGCACTAAACAGTTCAGATATCACACAGAAAATCATGAACCCAAATTTGTTAGTCATATTCTATTGGCAATGCATCAGAAGCTGTAAACAACCCACTCCAATACATGTGTACTAACTCAGGAAGAAAAAACATGGTGAGAAGATGACACTTTCAATAAAAAGCAAGATGCGCATGAAGGACAAACATGCTATTTCATACCACTTGGCAGTAAATATAGCACTAACCAGGGAAACACATAATGTATAATAACGGTTTGAAGAGTTGGAAGAGCTACCTCCACCAAGTATAAATAAACAATAGCAGTAATGAAAATTCAAAAACTGCAGAATGAATAAAATAAAACTTGTAGAGATTGTTTGTCTAAGGATATTCAAGTATAAGCAGAATGTATTATTTTGCTTTTCCATCAAAAATTAAAAAATAAACCAAATTTAAAAAATTATGTAAAAATAATGTGTGAATCTAGGTATCTACGGTTATATACATGAGCTTTGGTGTTTCGATTTAAAAAATATCAAACTCTGGGTGCCACAAGATTTAGAAGCAAAAGACAAAAAGTGAACAATCCAGCTATGCCCTAGAATTCTAATTTTTGAGAGGTACCTCTCCAACAATCATAAAACATGTTAAAGAAAACTATCTCCGAATGTAATTAAAATTATGATCTGACACGAAAATTACCTCTTCCTAGGGCTGCGACTTCTTGATCTGTTCCTTGATCTTGGAACGTTTTCACTTATCCGCCCCTTATGACTGCAAAAGGAAATAAAAATGCGCCGTCAGTGAGCAGCCAAGACAAATCATATCAGCTCTCCAAGTGATTAGATGCCCATAGATAGCTATAACCAGTGGATGGTTTTCTTTAACATAAATATCTACCATGAATAACGTTTCCATGCAAGTAGATCCACATCTGACCATGTATCTTTTTGCTTCATACTTAATCATTAGTCTGTAGGGGTCATATTTTTGTTTCAGTATAGTTCTACCACATTAAGCACTACCAGCACACATGGATCGTGCAGTACAGAATACTTTACTCATTAAAAGTAACCCCGTTTAGCTAAATTTTTCCTCACAATGGCCCCAGAAGAAAGATGCAGGCAGTTTGTTAAAGAACTCACAATCACCAGTTGAGTACGTCCAAACATGGAGACATGGCAACCTCTCAAACCAATCTAAAGATCCATCCCACCTATCCTCAAAATGCCATGTTAAAACAACTGAAGCATACTATCGGAAGATGTCTCCAGGTCAGGCATTAACATGTCTGATTATTCCAGGCAGGTACTTCTCTTCCAAATAAAAATCTGGTCATTCAACTTCTAAAGTAATTGTATAAATTACAACTCCTTTTTATCAGCAAAAGCCCAAACGCAGTACTATGTCAGAGTGAACTGCCAACTGGATTGACCAATGAATCAGAACAACGTCCTTTCAGCATTTACAACCCAGCATACAAGAAAAAAATCTAAATAAAGTACTGCTATACTAGAGCATCTGAAAACTAAATTGACCAAAGAATCAGCACTTACATCCTCTCAGCATTAGGCCCATATTTTGCAAACTGCACTGTGATTTCTCGGCCATCAACAACTCTTCCTGTAAACAGATGAGTAAAGCAGTACATTAATATGGTTAACATAGACATGCTCCAATTGACTTGTCTATATGCAGGAAGAAAGACATACCGTCCAGCTTCTCGACAGCTTTCTGAGCCTCATCAGCATACTTATAGCGAACAAATGCAAAACCCCGTGACTCACCCGTCCTATTTGCATTGCACCGTATTAAAGAATCAGTGCTATATCATAGATAGATTGGCACAATACTTAGCAAATGCATAGTTTTCTCTTTCATTTCTACACAATTTTATGCATTACATAAAGTAATGTAAAAAGAATATAGGATGCAAGCACAAAACACAAAAGTCATTCAATTTGGACCAGATGAATGCAACTCCGAATGCTCTATCAAAACTAGAAGTCAGTGCTCTTGGTCAGGGCCAAATCAATCAATCTGATGCAGCAAATACAAAACTTATTACGCTAAGGCCTTTAACAGCAGAACAAGTTCACCACACAGTAAATGCGAAACTCATCAAGCTAATGCCTTTAACAGCAGAACAAATTCAGCCCAACTCTAATTCAGCAAAATCAAACTTTCAGTAGACATTTGATTCCTCGAAAGAACAGAAGTAATGTAGAGACACACAAAGATAAAGAGGCAGAGTTGCGAGAACACAGAACGCCCATGAGCACAGCACAAGCAAAGCCAAAGCTCTCTTAGCAGCTGCAGTGCACATGTGATTATTAAGACAGTTGAATGCAGTCTGCTACTGCTGAGCCAGGAAATGCCACTAGCAAAAGCTGAGGGGTAGCATTCATGCATTCCCCCTACACCCCCGCATTTTACGATTGAATCGAGTAACAAAGGCGGGCAACACTTTTACTTCTCCCGACCTAGTTCATGCGAAACCCTTCTTGTTAATTTCTGGCTCAAGCCCCTCTTTTCTTCTACCACTCCCCTACCAAGCTCACAGGGTCAGTTCAATCAAATTCCCCCGTACCGATACAATTCAAAGGAAATTCTCACAACGCAGCGAAAAAGGGGCATAACACCAAACCAAAGAAAAGCGTCACAATTCATGGCAGGGCAAGAGAAAGAAACCTGCGATCCCTAGGGATGAAGATGTCGACGACCTTCCCGTACTTGTCGAAGAGCGGAAACAGATCATCGGCGGTCGTACCTGAACCAAAAGCCACACGAGAAACGACAAAATACACACTCGCGGATTCAGCAAAAGAACCAAACGAGCACTACTACAGCAGCAACAGAGCCTACGGCGGCAGATTGCCCGACGCCGGGGAAACGAGGAGGGACACGTACGGAAGGTGATGTTGAGGACGAGGAGGGAGTAGGTGTCGGTGATGTCCGGCGGGCCAGATCTCCCGAAGTGGGACATCGCCGCCGCCTTCCGCTGCCGAGCTCCGGCGAGGAGAGAGAAAGAGAGAGGATGAGGTATTGCTAGGGCTTGGGGCTGTGCTGTGTGGGGGGGAAAATAAGGGGGAGGGAGATGAGGGGCGGACGGAAGGTTCTTGAAGAAATATCTGTTCCCTCGCGTGCTGCGCACGTGACAGCCCCCCGAAGATTTTAGTTGTTGATTTATGGCATTTTTTAAAAGGAAAAATGACACAAATAGTCCTTGAACTTTGGATCAATGTGTAATTTGATCCCTGAGCTTTTAATTTATTCAATATAATCCCTAAACTTTAGCCTAATATTTAATATGATTTCTGAACTTTTAATTTGTTCAATTTAGTCCCTAAATTTTTTGTACATGATCAATTTAGTCACTGAACTATATGAAATGATCAAATTACATATTAGGCCAAAGTTCGGTGACTATTTGTGTCAAGAAAAACAAAATTAGTCCGGTGATGTGGTCCTGCGTTTGGTTCGGATTTTGCGAGCGATTTGAGCCTCCGGAGGTCCATGGAGCCCAGATTTTGGTGTTTGGTAACGCCATCTTAATAGCGTTTGCGCCGAAGAAAAGTCGAGACGGCTTCCATCCTAGCTTTGAGCTCTTTAAGCAATCCCGGAATTGCTAATACTCTGGTGAATTTCTTTTCCAACTTTGCCCTCTCTAGACCAATTGAATTTTGGATTTTACCCTTGTGCTCACTTTCCGGTGCAGATTTGACGAGCAACATGAGGGGGCTTAGGCAAGCTTAGATCCGAATCGGCGTTGCGTGACATGGACAGCTCGTTGCCTAGGGTTGCGGATCTCGACGGCTGCTGATTATGGTGGTGTGACATCGGCATTGCTTTCTTGGACTCCGTTTGTAATTCGGAAAAGTGATGATTTAAAAATTATTTTTTTAAAAATAATCGCTTGTATTACTTAAAAAATGAATAAAAGAATAATATTTTCATCATCCATAAAAATATTTAAATATAAACTGTTGTCGATAATGTAAATATTTTTTACTGACTAATTATTTCAAGCGATATAAATGATGATTTTATATAAATGATGATTTTTAGATTCAAATCATTCATTTTTTTTCGCAAAACAAACGAAATCTTAGCATAAGTTGAGGTTCTTCCTTGGAAATGCTACAAAACAGCGGTGGGAAGAACTTATTAGTCATGTTTTTGTATTCCCTCTCTTGCCCTTGCTAAGTAATGACATTTTTGCCACCATTTCTGTACATTCAATGTTCTTCCTCATTTTATCTAGGGATAATGACACAAAGAGTCCTTAACTTTGGCTCAATATGTAATTTAGTCCCTGAATTTTTACTTTGTTCGATATAGTCCCTAAATTTTAGCCTAATATTCAATGTGGTCCATGAACTTTTAATTTATTCAATGAAATCCCTGGACTTTTGGTATATATTCAATGTAGTCCCTGAACTTGAATTAATAGCATGACTATATTGAATATTTTTATATAGTTTAGGGACTAAATTGAACATGTACCAAAAGTCCAAGTATAACATTGAACAAATGAAAAGTTCAGGGACCACAATACACATTGGGTTAAAATTTAGGGACTACATTGAACAAATTAAAAATTCATGGACCACATTACACATTGGGCCAAAGTTCAGGGATTGTATATGTCACTTTCCCTTTTATCTAAGACTCTGTTTGTTTCGCGAAAAATGTTACATTTTTTAAAAATGTTTTCCAGGAAGCCATTTTCTAGGAAAATGGCATAATTTTCCAGTGTTCAGCTGAAATCTGAAAAAGTCTCGAAAAATATTTTCTGTTGTTCGGTATAGAAAAGATTTTTCTCCTTGCATTACTTTTAATAATTTTTTATTTTTATTTTTAAAAAATATTTTTAATTCTCTTTTTTTCGTTTTTCTTTTTTCCTTCTTCTTCCTCGGCTGGTCGCTAGCCACTGCGGCGGCCGGCGACCGGCCACAGGCAAGCTCAAGCCTCTCCACAAGCAAGCGAGGCTCGAGCTTGCCAGATTCTAGCGAGGCCGAGCTCGCCCCAGGTCGGTCTGGCGAGCTCGGGCCTCGCCAAATCTGGTGAGCTGGACAAGGCTCTGGTGACCTCGGGCGAGCTCGGCCCCGCCACAAGCCGATCACTAGCCACTGCCATGGCCAGCGATCGGTCGAGGAAGAAGAAGAAGAAAAAAAAAAGAAAAAGAAAAAAGAAAAATAATAAAATTTAGAATTTTAAAAAAAGAAAATAAAAATAATTATAATGAATGATGAAAGAAGGAAGGGGAAAATGTTTTCCTCTTTTCAAAGTGTGGAAAACATTTTCCACACTTTTGAAGGTATTTTATCCATTGAGGGGAAATATTCCCATAACTAGTTTATTTTCCGTGAAACGAATACCCGAAAACCCGAAAAATGTTTTTCTGGAAGTTATTTTCCATGAAACAAATGAAGCCTAAGTATTTCATTCCTTTTTTGGCTTGAACACTCTAATTTTTTTTGTGTTTTGATAATACTATTCCTTATATGGCACACCGCTTTTATTAAAAATATACAAAACTGGTAAAAAAACTCCTTTTATTTTGATCCTTCTTTTTTTGTTCTTATTGTAGGTCCCATTTCCTTCTTTTTTTCTACGTATTTCACGTCTCAGTTCTCGACTCTTAACAATTGGTCTTTCCATTTTCTCTCTTGCAGACCATTTTCTTCTTTCTACACCTCTCTACTCGTCAAGTCACGGGGATTGAGACAATGTTTGGCTTGCATTCACACTAATAAAGATCGAATTTACAAAGACAAGGTAAACATAAGTTAGCGACCCAAAAAGCCCCATATAAAGATCATCCTCCATATCATTGCTAGCTATGAATCAACCTCGCCTCGGGCTATCAAGTTCTTGAGACGAACATCCAAATCATTAGCTTGTCTTGAGACAACGAGCCAGACATATCTGGTGAGTTCTCAAACCAAAACGATTACATTAACAACATGGTCCTCATGCCCCGCCACGCTAGACAACTAGTGTTGGCGGAATCAACAGTGCCGATCACATCCTCAGACTCCAAACAGGACGCTTTGAGGGGTACAAATGGATCCCAATTTGGCTACAAAACACAGCGTCCGGGTGACGAGGGTGACTCTGGGAACGACAGGGCGAAGATGGACCACGGCTTTTCCCTTATGATGTTGAACAACAAGTTAGATGCTATTGAGGAGCTAAACTGGGGACTTCAACCCTACGTGGTGGCAATTTAAAAGCAGAGAAAGTATATAATTAGGAATGTATATTGGCAAGAAGACCAGGAAGATGCTTATAATGGTGGAATGAACATGGAGGATTTCAAAAGCAAACTTTGGAAGCCTCTCACTTGGAAGGTCAAAGTTCCATAGGAGTTCTTAACACTTACAGTGAAATTTGACATGAGCTCAAATTCATGAAATTATAGGTAACTCCAAAAAGAAGAGAATGGCCTGCAAAAAAAAAAACAAAGAAACGGTTTGCAAGAGCTGGGAACTAAGACTTCAAAGGTGTAGAAAGAAAGAAGAAAAGTAGGAACACCAAGCCAAACAAAAAGAAACAAAAAAAAAAGAGTAGACCAAATAAAAAAAAGGAACCACTTTTGCAGAGTTGTAATAGAAGTGGTGGGCCACACAATGAATAGAAAGATGAGAAATTAACTATAAGAAATCATGCATAGACCAATGTCACGAGCCACATTGATTGGCTATTTATTGTCGACGAGCAGTTCAAAACCTTCAATTTAGCCATATCATGCTTTCAGTAACATAGTTCCGATTCAGCATATGCATCATCATGTTAACATCATAAATAAGTTTGTGTGAGTCTTCCACATGGCAGGACCAATCTCTCTTACTATAGACTTATTCCGTGGGTCGTATCTTAAATTGGATTAAATTTAGTGTTTGAGCTTTCGATGCAAAACAGGAGCATACATTTTTGCAATTCTAAATTTTAGAGCACTGGTGGTTGACTTTGACTTAACTTTTTTAATGAGTGGTTCGCATTAGGGCAATAGATATTGGAGGTAAAAAGCTATAGATTCTTACTAAATTGATCAAGAAATATCACACATACTTTCTGGATCAAACGAAAGTTGAGGACGTGATTTTTTTATTTAATACGATAAAGAGAAAAGGATACTACAAGTGGCAGTGCCATAAGTTTCGTACTTCACTTCACCAGCTTTATTGTCATACTACAAAATTTCTCCTTGGACTTATTAAGTGGCATTCCATAGGTGCTCAAATAACAGGCGACTGCTAAATCACATCAAAGTGTGGAGCACCAACGAGGGGGATCAGAAGAACTATGAGTATGTACACCATTTCATGGAGGCAAGATGCCCTAACCACTGGAAAAAAGATTCATAAAACATTGGATGATGATCTTGAATGAACTGGTGGAAGGTCGTCGGTCTCTAACGGATCTCCGAACTGAAACATCTAGTGGAGCATCTGATAGACTTCTGGTTCTTGAACGATATCATCTGTCTCAACATGTTCTGGGATATGTGCATTGTCCGGAACATTTACTTCTTGCTGCTTCTCATCAATGTGTGAAGGATTATGTGTGTGAGCAATTGGATCCAAGTCAATGAAATCACCACTAACTTATGGTACTGAAGCCATATCTGATTTCTCAATATCATGTATTGTTTGATCTTCTATAAATAGAACATCTCTGTTTCTTACAACTTTCTTCTCAACTGGATCTTAGAACTTGTAACAAAAAAAATCCTGTCCATAGCCAATGAATATGCATTGTCGTGTTTTCATATCAAGTTTAGACCTCTCATCTTTGGGATTATGCACAAATGCCTTGCATCCAAAGACACGCAAATAATCATACGAAATATCTTTGTCTGTCCAACCTTTATCAGGAACATCAAACTCTAAAGGGACATATGGAGTAAGATTCAATACAGATGTAATTGTATTCAAAGTCTCACCCTAAAAGAATCTCGGTAGCTTTGTTTGTGAAAGTAAACATCTTTCCATTTCAACCAGTGTCATGTTCATTATAAACCATTTAACTGAGG